TGTGCTTTGAAGTTTCTTTTGCGGTTAGATTTGTTTTCTGGGGTAGGATTGCTAGCCGTATGCCCAGTCTTCCCTCTTTACCCGGGATTAGGACCGGCTAGTAACTAGTGAACTAGTTAACCAGGCGAGGTTAATATGTCTACATAGACTGACCAATTCAATCCAGTAGACCGGTCAATGGGAAGTTACCAGCACCAATAAACTGAATTCAACGGGGTCACGGTTGCATACTTCTGACGAGTCCCACATCAGAACAAAACAGTTATTGAATGCTCCTAGGTTTCTAATGTTTCCCCCGCTGAAGTCAGTGCATGATGAATACTAACCTAAGTTTAACGATTTAAACCTCATTAAAATTGGGTTGAATTGGCATAACAGATCTCTCGTGGATGTTTTGACCCTATTCATAAGAGTGTCAACTAGTTCCCTAACTTCTTCGTATAGTCCTGTTTCTGTATGCTGATTAACCTCAACATAATTTGATTTGTCCGAAAATTTATACTAACAAATCATACTACTTACAAGATCTAAGTACACCGCTAATAGAAAAATATTATCATGTAGGTCGCCTGAGGCATATGTTGTATTTCCAATTCATCGATTTAAAAATATCTTTAGTAATTTCCGTGGTAGTGGACAGCGTCAAAATCCAGGATGTATGTTCTGACTTATTAGGGATCGGTCAGCTGCACGGGTTTGCACCGTAATGAGTAGTGTTGTTAGCACTAAGTAGAATACATCACAAGGAAACCTAAATCCATACCCAGACATCTTTTCAAAGACCTTATATACCAACAAACGCCGGTCAACTAAGTTTAATAACATGATTAACGTGAAATAACAAGTATGAATCTAAAAAAAGCTTTTGCTTCATAAAAGTTTTTCTGTTTGTTATTCAAGCCAAGAGAAATCTCTGTAAAATTTTCATCCACATTTTACACAGAAGATTGTCAGTATTCATATCTGATTTCAAATAGCTGCTTAGGTCTACATTTTCCCTAAAATTTTGTATTTGGAATAAGACGTCGAGCAGTGCAACATAAATTTATTTAGAATATTTGTTGATATACTCGCAATTTCCCTTTGTTATACTGGATCAAACTGACCGACCTCTATAGGCATATGGGTTCTTATGTGGTTACCTCAATATTGCCACAGTATTTACTGCTGTGATGAGCTTTCTTGTGGTGAACAGTGGAATCTAGAACAAGCGTCTCATCCTGTTCGGGGCTCATCAGCTGATTGTACCTGCACTTCAGTCAGCGGCGTTGGTCCCACCGGGACTTGAACCACATACGCATTGCTTCAAGTGCTACTCAATAGGCCAGTAAGGCATGATAACCACCTCAAGGAACTCACCTAGGAGGCTATATGTCAACAGACTAGTTCGATCCAGTAAAGCAATGAAAAATTAAAACTATCAAGAAGTAATAATAACTAGTACTCGTCGGTGACTATCATACTTCAGTGGCCTGTTGGATAACATCTTGACGTTCAAAATGATGGGTGCGGAGTTCGTTCCCCAGAGGAAAGATCACTGAATGGGGCGCAGATACATCTAGTTGGCAAGTTCAAAATAAAGCGAAACACGCATCTTGAATGGCGCTGTTAGCTACAACCAACCCAATTACAACAAATGTGATTACTCTGAGGAATGAATGGGATCGGATATTCAGTAGATATAAGCCTTTCTTCTTCAGTTGCCTGATAAATCCCTATATGACCACTACATGCGTCACACCTATATCTTCTCCAGACAACAAAATCATTTTCCATTAGAATCACGAAGCCACAATAGTGTACAGAAGAGGCTATTTCGAACATTTACTCTTCCTTGATTCTATAATAACTCTAATGCCATGCAATTATTTTGAAATCAGTCATTTTCGTCTGTTTCTTCGTATCATTCTCCGTAATGTATGAAAGTTTTACGAAATATACTACTGACTGCTATGAGTAGTTGTAGGCAAGTCACACTCATCAGCAATGTTCGCTAACCAGATCGAGATTATATGAAGATTGGATAGTCACTCTAGAGCAAGTTTATCAACAGTGTACTCAGATTTTTTCACTGCTAATTGGCGTAACTTGTCGACAACTACTTAACTCAATCAGTAGATTGTTTCATACAGCTTTCACTCTCACAGTCCTGACTCCGTGTGTGGTGTCAAGCAGATTATGCAATCTGAAATACTTATTCACATCACTTTATTTTCTGTTTTATCTAAGGCTCTTAATATTCATTGTTTAATTATGCTAGCACCATATTTTGTTACTGAAAACTCCCTATAAAGTTAAAGTGTATGAGAACAGTAAAACCGACATAACTTGATGTATACATGAGGATCCTTGAGCAATAAGTATCAGATTCCATTCTCGGTAGTGGCTCAGTTTCTTCGAAGAAAACAAAGAGGGCGATTAGGCGACGTAAAGTGTATTGCCATGTCAAAATGTATGTATAAAATACAGCAGCAATATTATTATTTGTCCCTTGGGTTCCTACTGGAACATACGGCTTCAGCAACACGTCACCATTTCACTCCCTTCTCTCCAATCCATTTAACCTAGCTCCACTACTGCCCATAAGCTTTCATTTCTTCCTCACACCATTTCCTCCATGTCACCCTCGTCTCTGACGCCCAACTCGTCGTTTCCCATTGCGGTTCCACTCGAGGACCTGGCCTCACACGTGATGTCACCAAACCATCTTCTCAGTCTACGTGCAATCCAATCCATCTCCACTCTCTTCTGTTTATTTGTTGGGCGATAGGTTGTTGGTTGGATCGTTGCCAGCCAGCCACAGTTCCTTCTTGCTCATTCTTATTATTCTGGTCATCTCATCTGATCTTCAGTATCGAGCGAGTGTAGGTGGCAGCTGTTCATCTATGTCTGCGGTTTGTCGAAAATGACTTTCGTAACGCACCAAGTCAGTCAACCATCACACAGAAGCACTGACTTACTTGACTGACATTAGTGTTGAAAATCCAGATATTTTTCACGCTTTATGTTGAGTGCAGTGCAGTGCAGTAGATCTCTACACTGATCACCACAGTTTAGTGAAGGCGTGTCTTGCTGTCTTTCCGATCCTGGTTTTCACGTCGTCATCTGTGCCACCGCCGCCTGTCGTTGAGACGATGCTGCCAAGGTATGTATGTATATATGTAGGTGAAAGAGGCTACTTCCTTCAGATTTCTCCCACTGACGATGATTGGTGCTTGTTGTTGCTGTTGTCGCTGGTTGGGTATCTTCACCACCTCTGTCTTCTCTACCTTTACCTGAAGGAAGTCCCGTCTTCGCTGCTCTCTCCTTCTCCACTATGCCCTATGTCTTTTGTCAACTTGTTAGTTTTCGCCTGTGGACCTTCGAGTTTATGCAACATTAGACATAAAGCATCATCATGAGCGAAATTCAAATCTTCTTCTGCTGTCTTTTCATCGGTAAAACAGCATATGCCCCTCTCCTGCCTCCTCACAGTTTGCTGCATGATCCAGCCCAGACACCCGAGTCGACCACAATCAGGAAGATGGTCGGTGATGATAGTAGGTGGCAACCTTGTCTTATCTGTCAACCTGTCTTAACTTCAAAGACATCACTGAGCTATCCATTGTGGATCACTTGGTGTGCTTCATCATCATATGGTTGTTGAATGAAGTTAATAAATGTTTATAGTACTCTGTAGTGTTGAAGCAGCTGCCAAATTACCTCTCCTTCAGTAAATAAGTATTCCCTTATCTCATCTGCGCTCCACTTGTCGTCAGTTGACGTAATCCAAACAAGTCATTTGCACCAATAAAGTCAAATCATGAACAGTTATCGTATTTGGTGACGTGATAGGGCTAGAAACAGCAGACTGTTTAATGATCTATAGAAGGCAAGCAATATATTTAATGTAACACATAACACCTGCTGAACAACACCAGAGAAAAGACTAGGTGAGTGATACATATTCATTTTGAGGTTGACTGGAACCAACGTCAGTTGGAGGACCATTGAAAACCCGGTAGTATAGGAAAGGTATTTCGTCCTAGCATGCGACTCTTCAGCGGCACGCATGCATGATCTGGTCAGAGTTCGATGGTTTTCCACCTATATCTGTGAATTCGCAATATAATTCAATTATTCATCAAGTTTGCCAGTTAGTATCCTGTTCACTTCCGACTGGTTGATCCCACAGGTAACCGACGAACCGTCTTCTGTTTAGTACTCCCAGGTTTTCAATGGTACTCCAAATGATGTCACTCAGCATACCATCTTGACTAAAAGAAATGTAAATCCTATTGGGATTCATTTATTTAGTCAAATTATTTTCTGCTCGTTTGACTTTTTCGTAATTTAAATTTTTACAATCTTTCAACCTTACCTTCATCTTTTAAAAAAGGCATAACACATTACCTTCTCTCAATGTTTACATTTAACGCCGCATAGTGTCATATCAACACCGACATTGCAAGAGACGATTAGTATGCAGAATCTGACAGTGGGGAACAGCTTATGATATGCTTACTTCAGTGACACATTTTAATAGATAAGAATTGCCACACATCTATTCTTTGAGTGACTTATAAAGTCCACTCAAGCAACAGCTGAAATGACCAATCAAACTTTGGTATTTCGTCTGAGAAAGTATGCCTTCATAATATAAAAGAATGTAATTGGCTGTCTCATTAGTTGCTAGGGTGGCTTTTAAAGCTACCTTTAATTCTTCAACTTTCTGATAAATGTCACGAATAAAGGCTTATAACAGTTGGTAATAAAAAAAATTGTAGTTTCAGAACATACACTATCTTTTCTTTTGAGTCCATCAATATGAGAATATATATATATATATATATATATATATATATGATGATGATGAAGAAAGAAGAAAACCATAACAGTGAAACATACCAAGTTTTACCTAAGAGGCAATGAAAAAATCAGAATAAAACTGTATAAGTGAAGAAAAAAACAAACATCTGTACACACCATATAGGAATATTTGTGTGCAATATAGACAAAAGTTAATTAGACGGTAACCGATTGACTGTACGATTTTTTATTGTTTGTGATAATTCTAAAGCTTCCCATAAAGCATTGATATTATTTTCTCCAAAGCCAGTTGATTGATTACGACGTTCAATTAATTCCATGAAGAAACCATTTTTTTCAAATAATGGCTCTGTGAATATCTGTAGTAATGTCCTAAATAATAAAAATAATATATATACAATATTGAAAATGTAATTTAATCCACTGATTACCTATACACAAGTGTACTGTATCTTCAGTTTAAATTATATGGTATCAGTTTGAATCTGAGACTCATCATTACACCATAAGTTTCATTGATTCGTTTTTCCACACTGAAGTATGAAATTCCCAAACATTCTCATTTCTTACTATTTATTGATATCTATGTGATTCTCCATTGTTTTACTGGATTGAATTGCTCCACCTAGTGCCTCTGTGTCCTAGTGGATAGTGCTTTGGTGTTTGAAGTGTTGGGTACGAGGTTCGAGTCTCAATAGGAACAACATCACTGAGTGGGATGTAGGCATATGCAGCTGACGAGTCCCAAATAGGACGAAACATGCGTCAGGCTGAATTCCTCTGTTAGCCATAATAAAGTAAATTCTCACCTTTCTCTTTAAAAATGAAAATAGTATAAAACTACAGTTTAAAAACACACAGAAATTATCTCACGACCTGCAGAAACAGGTGATTAAACTAAGGTTACAAATCGAATCCGTACACACTAGTAAGTAAGAAAGAGATATTATTCATATATGAGTTGATGGTTGATGAAGTAAACTGGACTAGCTTTTTCCGACTTACGCAACTTATGGTGTTGGTGAGATATTTAACTGCCTACTGAAAGTTCGAATATACAGCAGAACAAACCCATCTTTCTTACTATATCACAGTGAAACAAGGTCGTTATAAGCAGAGGATTGGAGAAGGGTTCATGTGTTCGATAACTGTCATTCTGGAAACACTGGTCACATGTCATCAAACCATCAAATGAATAAAGCTGAGGTTAGATGTCAAGTCATAAGTGAAAGAGCCAAGTTATCTATTGAGGTTTCAAACGTTAGTCGACTTCGACTGAAGCAGATTTAAGCTGAAAAAAAAGTTAAATGTGATCAAAATTAAAAGTTGATATCAATTCATGAAGTCTCTGACTGTTGGTTTGAATTGTCTAGGTGAATAATGATTAAAAATCGGTTGTTGAAAACTTTAAGTGATATGACTCTGAACCAATCGCAGTGGTGAAGATACATCCATATCTTATTTTTATCCTAAACTTGGTATTTCAAGTTGTTATTCATCGTAGACTGACATCAGTTGGAGGAAAAAAGGAGACCTGAGAGCACTGGACAGCTGTTTCATCCTACCGTGGGACTCCTCAGCAGTCTACGATGAGTAACAACTTGAAATATCTCCAAATCCCCGCAACTCCCTCAAAATTCAATTGAACTGGTGCTCATTGGTGACTAGCTTCGAGAGGTATTCCCAAAGTTTCAATGAAAAATCGTGACTGGTGGGGGCAAAGCCTGATGGTCGTGAGGAAAGTCACTCAACTATAACATTGGTTGGCGGTTGCGCTATATCGTGAGCTAACAAAAGTTGGAAATATGAACGATTGGATTCTGATACAGTAGCTCAATGGTAACGTGCTGGACACGGGACCTGAAGGTCGCTGGTGCGCACTGCTGAGGAGTTTCATACTAGGATGAGACAGCGGTCCAGTGCTTCCAGGTTTCCTTTAGTCCTTTAACTGATGTCAGTTTACAATGAAAAACAACTTGAAACATTTCCAAATTTACACAACTCCCTCAAAATTCTAATAAACTTGATATCATATTTTGTTGCCGACTTCATTCGATCTTACTATCTAGAATTAATTTTCTACAAATCTCGGTTTCATTCTGTTACCTTATATCCTCATGTATTGATACATTATGCAGTAATGTCAACTCCTAAACTAATAACAATTGGTAAATTATTAATGATATGACTTAAATAGAAGAGTTTTTTCTCAAGAATATTGAAATTATTCAGTTCACTTGAAAGTACTGAAAAAGAAGACATCAACCTAAGGTAAATTGGAGCTTCTCTTGATACTTCTCTCTGTATTAGCCTATGTTGTTGTCAAATAAACTATTAGTTGATTTCCGTTGAGAAAAGCTTTGAATAATGACAAATATTCAAAGGTCAATAAGTAGGTCAAAACAAGTACCGGGTTAAACAAATTTGTAGTAAACTTTATATCTCAAGCAGTTATGAAAATAATAAGAACACACGTTCTAAATTCTTCTGCTAGCCAAAATCAAGTAGATTGCTAAAATACTAATAAGTTGTTATTTCTGCTAAACTAAAGCAAAAGGCACAGTATTGCGTAAAACTACTCCAACGAACCATTAAAAGTAGAATTTTGGCATTCTAGTACAGTATACTTCTGTATTAAATTTGAAAATATGGACTATTAGATCCCTACCCAACTGCTCAGTGGTAATGTGCTGGCTACGGAACCTGAAGGTCATGGGTTCGGTCCATGGCAGGCAGAGTCGTGGTTGCGCATTGTTGAGGACTCTCATACTAGGATGAAACAGTTGTCCAGTGCTCCCAACTTTCCAAAGTTTCTTCAACTGATGTCAGTATATGATGAATATCAACTTGAAATCGACAAATCCCCACAGATCCCAAAAATGAACTAATCTAATGCTCATTAGGTACTAGCTTCGCAAGGTGATTCCCGAAGTTCCGATCAGAAGTCGTGACCAGTGAGGGAAACCTAGTGGATGTGAGGACAAATACTCAACAGTGACATTGAGTGATGGTCGCATTATTTTGTGAACTGACAGAAGTAGGAAATATGAACCCTTGGCTTCCGACATAGTGACTCAATAGTGCACGCTAGCTGCGGGAACTGTAGGTCGTGGGTTCGACCTATGGAGGGTTCATGGTTGCGCACTGCTGAGAAGTCTCATACTAGGACAACACAACTTCCCACTGCCCCAGGTTTTTAACGTTCCTCCAACTGATTTCAGTCCATGATGAATACCAACCTGAATTCAATAAATCCCCACAAACCCTCAAATTGATATTGTTTAGTAATAATAATGACAAAACTCTTTCACTGTCTGCTGAGTGAAAATAAAACTTATTTAATACTCATTAAATCCCATTTTGTGATAAATGAAATCCGTATGTCTTAGCTAGAATACTGAAGATAAAATTGGGCACCTCCGTAGCCACTTGAAACTATCGGGAATCGGTGGTTGACTTCCAGCTATTGACTGACTCATGGGATTAAAATCCAATTTCACCTAATGAAACTTAGGTGACCAAGTTATGTCATCAACGCTTACACGATAGAGATGACTCATAATCTAGTGTATAGATCTAAAGCTATTTTGTTATTTATCGCTAATTTACTATATTGGGTTCTGTATGATTTAATAAAAAGTCTTGGTTGTTTTGTTCTCTGATCACGCCATCATTGTCAACGCTGAATGATCAAGACGAAATGCACTCAACAATCATATTCACATCCGTAACATTAAGGTAGTAAGCTACATTGATTGTGTGAGGCCTAGTGATACTACCTAGTTGCCCAGAACTCGGTAGATGGAGGCAGTTCGAACCCATGACCTACTAATCGGAAGTCGACTGTCTTAACCAATGAACTGCAGCTTAGCATCACGGCCAATGATATATGACCACATCTTCTTTGTATAAAAAAGGCTAATTCAGTCAGAATGAGAAAGCTTGTCCTGTTTATTGACAAAAAGTATGTACAATAACTTTCTTTACTCTAACCTAAATTATGGTCAGACCAGTTTTAATATAACATTGGTACTGAAAATTTATATTTTGACCGTCCTGTTTTCCATCCTTCCTCTCTTTTTCCCTATTTATTGATACGAAACAGTTACCCCATATATCATTTATTTTATGGCCTCGACTACCATGAATATTACTACTGATAACTTCTTGACTCCGCATAAACGTTTTGCATTTTGCTACTGAATTTATATGGTTTCCGTTATACTGATAAGAGTCCATCACTTTACAGTACGGTAATGATGATAATATCCCTATCCAAATGAACAAGTCATCATCATCAATATAGAACGAAGCATTAATGTGTAACGGTCAAAGTTGCCAAACTTTATATCAGCACATCAAGAGAGGAAGGAATAAGATCAAACAAGCTTAGAAAGCTTTTACTTGTATGTACCAAGAACTTCCCAGTTTCAGTTTAGTGATCAATTGATGACATTGCAATGAGAAGCTATTTGTGATATATTCTGAAGGATTGCATGGAAATATATCATTTGAGAAATTAGGAAAGGTGAATTTATAAAATTCCTGCTCTCAGTTTCTCTCACTTTTTTCAAGATCATATACAAACATTTTTGAAGTTTAAGACAGTATAATAAAAAACACAAAAAATGATGCAGGGGGGGGGAAATTGTAAGCAAACACATAACACTAACTGCCATTTATAGATTGTCAACCGATTAGTTGATGGATAGTGGATACATATTGTTTGAAACGTTGTTTTCTACAAAGATCCCCCAATCATGTAGATCTTTCGGTCATTGTGATAAGTATTCATCGCAGAGTGACATAAGTTGGGTAACCATTTAAAATCTGAGAGAACTGGACAGTTGTTTCATCTTAGTATGGGACGACTCAGTAGAACGCATCCACAACCCGCCTGGGTATCAAACTCAGGACTCTTGAGCTAGGGATGGAACTCAGGACCTTCAGGTTTCACGGCGAACGCGCTAACCATTCAGCCACTGGGTCGGTTTTCAGTGGTTCACAATTTCCAACCTCTATCAATTCACGATATAGCGTGACTAACACCCAACGTCTTCAGTTGGCATCCCATTCCTTCCGACTGGTTGACCCCACAGATCACGGCTTCCCCTCTACAACTTTGGGATATCCATCTGGAAGCATGCCACTGATGAGGACCATATGGCGATGTATAAAGTAGGATAACTAAGAGAACAGACAGGTTAACGAGAGAATATACAATTCAACTAGTGAGTCTGCTACTTTCAATGGTTCCCCAACTGGTGTCAATCCGTGATGAATACTATTGTAGTGGGTGTTGCTGATAAGAATGTATATAAGTAGTATATATTGAGAGGGCGGCAGGAATCATAAAGAATTACCAGGAATGAGTAAGGATTCTGCCCAGAGAAACACAAAAGACAATGCTGGCGTATTAAGAACAAGGTAAGATAGAAGCAGAAGAGGAAATGATGCATATTATGCAAACGACTACCTTAGTGCAAGGTGTACCATATTCAATGACTATTGTGCAAGATGTCAATAATAAACAATCCTCCCTTCGTCCCAGTCTTCTCTTTCCCTTCACTATCTCAAAATTAAAAATCCCCATTCATTTCGAAAATACAATGTGATAAGTGTTTTAAAATAACAATGGAGATAATAATAAACATAATAATGATGAGACTGACAGACTTGACGTAAGTAGTTGTAATATAGTTGATAATGATGATAAGTACCAAAAAAACAGCATGAAAATGTAAACACTCCAATATTCAAATTGCATTAAAAGCGTGGAAAAATAAGTTACTCAATACTGAAGGATAAAGTTAGCGGATAAACAAATATAGTACTATGATTTACTTGGTTGTGACTAGAAGTAGAATCCTGGACGCGCGTTTCGTCCTGTTTGGGACTCTTCAACTGGACGTCCCTAAACGTATTCGCTTCAAACTCTATTTGCTAATACTTATATTATCATTTGACTATCTGATTTCTTTGAATATTACTTATGCGCTTTCTTCTTCATATTCATTTATTTGCTTGGTCCTTTGATGCATACCGAATGATACTCAGTACACTTTATTTCATATAAACACTTTTGCTAGTCTTCCTTAGATTTCTGGTGATCAACTTTCATCAATATTATGCTGTTACTTGTATTATTCCATCTTTGAGTGGACCGGAATGATTAGTCTGGATTGACTTATGGGTTCCGGTGCGCGTCCCTCGACACTACCTCTGTTTAAATTTTATATTACTGATGAATGGTGAGTAACAGTGGGATCCAAACCTCTAAATTCGGTCCAATCAACGATAGGATAATACAAGTAACATTATGGAAACAAAAAGCAGCTATCGTGACTTGACTTAACGGATAACGCTTTGGCGTTTGAAGCGATCAGTAGGAGTCTTAGTGGGAACAACACGGCCCACTGGAACGTAGGTGTACCCAACTGATGAGTCCCAAATAGGACGAAACACACATCCTAAATTCCACTGCTAGTTACTACCCATCATTAATATTTCATCAATACTCCTGTCCATTTTATTGCTTGTATATTTTACATTTAAATAAAATGCTTAAAAGTGATTAAATTATCATGGTTAGAAGTGGTCCCACCTTTTGGTTAACTCATCTACCATTACAAACCTTATTATAAGCATAGTTCGGTTGCATTTCCATCTTAGGATATTTGATTTTTCTATTCTCCCTACAATTGAAAAAGGTAGAAGTGAACTCGGCAACCATGGGGCATTACGTGTACTAGGTACTGAATCACATCTATTGCATGAGGGCTAATGACTGACTGCCCAGAATTCGGTAAATGAAGTCATGTACGAACCCATGACCCAATTGGGTGAAAGTCAAGTTCTTATGCCAATGAAACCCATCTCCAGGCATTGGACAGCTTCTTGATACATTATCAGACAATGAATGACAAAACTGAACATAATTAATCTAACATAAAAGTAGAGTTGTGGCTCACTGGTGTGGACAGTTGACTTCCAGCGAGTAAATCACAGGCCCAAACGCTGCACCACCCATCCAGCTTTCAAAAGACAAACAGTATCAGGAGCCCTCCTAATATGATATTCACAAACTTGCATGTTACTGTTGATTTATGGCAGAAAAGAAATGGCTTCATACAATAGTACACAGCATGAGTTACCCAATAAAATGTTCTGGTCACTTACCCTATTTGATTCCCATTAATGTCTATTTCTTTATCAACCAGTACTCTAGATGTTTTAAGTTCTTCTAGATTCAAACAACACTGTTCCAGATCAATTCGTTGGGTTAACTATAACAGAGAGTAAATTTGAAAATAATCAGTAGATTCAGTCTCATTTTCAATTAAGATATGTATGGAAAAGGAAAGAAATCATTGGTTGACAAAAATTCGATCTAAACTATGACTTAAGTGCTCAAGAATGACAGTAACATGTATAACGCTTCCTTTTCTTGTCAATGTAATTTAACAGTTTAGTGGTAGTGACTTATTAAATTCGAAGAGATATAATACAGTGAACAGATTTAAATCTGTTGTTGACAAAGTTTTAAACTGGTAAGTACATTCACCGAAGAGGACTCTTTTAAACAAACATTCGTCATATATATATATATATATATATATATATATATATATATATATATATATATATGACATTTAAAGACAGAAATCCATGAGGAAGATTTAACTTGAACAATGGGAGGTTGAAATAACGATAATGGTGGTCATAGTAATAATAATGCTAGTAATAATAATGTTGCTAGTTGATGACGTAAAGGTCGGATGATAACAAAAAGGGTTACGTAAAATTTTTAAATAGTTTTTAAGGTGCATTTAGATTAAAAAGTGGGTGAAAACGTGGTAGAGTCAATAAACAGTCAAAGGATACGGTAACAGAAATGGGACAAGTGAATTAGAATAAATTGAGAATCTTTGAAATGAATGAGGATTTTAATTTAGGGGTAGTATTCATCACGCAGTGACATCAATTGGAGAACCATTGAAAACCGGGAGAATTGGATGGCTGTTTCGTCTTAGTGTCGGACTCCTCAGCAGTACACACCCATGACCCAGTTAGGGATGGAACTCAGGACCTCAGTCAGGACCTTCACGATTCACGGCGAACGCGTTAACATTCAGCCATAAGGTCGCAGCTCAATGGTTCATAGTTTCCAACTTCTATCAACTCACGATAAAGTGCGTACTGCTGAGCAGCCCCATATTAGGATGAAACAGCTGTCCAGTGCTCTCACGTTTCCAGTGGTTCTCTAACTGATGTCAGTCCGTAATAAATACAATCTCCGAAAGTGTTTTGTTAAAAGTTGTAAGTATTAGGAAGATCAAATGAAGTAACATCGGAAACTATTGAATGTAAAAGTAAAATAATCATAATGACGATATAAGAGTACAAAGAAGAAGTTGAAAAAAAGGGGGACGAAGCGCACCAAAACCAAGATAAGTTAAGGCCAAGGTAGACATAAAGACTTTACATACGTGCGTCTTTTGTGCACAAAAGTCAGGCTTCGTGGTGGCCAAGGCCTCTGTTATTTTAATAAGTTGAACACAGAGGAAACGTGAGATATATGAGTGAATTCGATAAACAACCTTCAAATCATTGTCAGAGTCGATTGAATGGTTGGAATGGATTACATGTTCAAGGAGAGAACTTCTGATTCGTTTTCTTTCAGCCTTATAAAACCAGACAAGAATATCTTCCCATATACGTGTTGACAGTAATCTGTGACTACGGCCGATGTACAGAAGCAGGTGAACTGGTAGAAGCACATGGAGGTGACCTGTCGAAGGATATTATCTTTAACACATACGCAAAACAATTAACGACTAGTAAAGGTCCCATGGAGTTAGGCTGAGAGAAATATTCTGCTAATTGATATGGAAAGAGGATTTTCCAAAATGTCTGGTGCCAGCTATATCATTTTTAAATTCCAGATTCATGGACACAGTCTTTTTAGACACTGAGCTGATGACTGGTTTCACATGTCTATCTAACATATTTTTACCATCAAATCAGCTATGATAGCCGCTTTTTGTATGCACCGCTCTTACAAAGTCAAGTTCAACTTACACAGTCTGTGTTACAAACAGTACGTATACGATAACACAGTGAGTGAATGCGCTTTCCTATCATTATGATCAACACCGAACTGTAGAAATTAGTAAGCTATCCGTTCCCTGTAAGTTATTAGTAGATGAATCTTTTCAGAGTTTCATTTTCACGTCTCGTAATCAGCACGTTAAGGAAAGGAATAACAACATAATTATTATAATCATCATTATTGTTATTTCAACCTCCCATTATTCAAGATAAATCTTCCTCATTGATTGTAGTCTTTAAATATCACGCATATATATATATATATATATATATATATATATATATATATATATCAAAATCCTCTTCACTGAAACACCTTATTTTTGATGTCACAATGGGAATTATTACTATGTAGTAAGTATATAATTCCATACATTCTTTTTATTCATTAACTTGAAAAGTCCAAGAAAAAGAAATGTTCATAAGAATGAGTGATTTTTCTTGAAAAATAAAAGTCTTACATATGAATGGAGATAGTGATTTACTAGGAAACATGGAACTAACATTATTGGTTGCCTAACCCTAGAGAGTTAATGAGTGTGGTGAAAATAAAACGCAAACTCTTAACCCAGTGAACTTGAAGCACATAGAAGCATATTGCTTAGCATTAACCATAATCAAGACAGTATAAAACACTCAATCAACAGATTGAGTTAATCATAATTCTATGATGGTCCAAGATGCCACTTCTCATATCAACACAATATAATTAGATAAATATGTGTAATGAATCTGCAAAATTCATTCTTCAGGTTTCTGATGATTCAATGACTAGTTCTCATGGTCTTGTAGTACCAGGTATAACGACAAGTCTTCAGGTAGAAAGTACACTGATCGACTGGATTCCTTGTTAACACTATTCTGTCCGGTATTCGACTGTATGGTGCAGTAACGAGTAAAAGAATTGTAAAACGCATAATTATCTTTTGTAACATCAGTTTATGCTCCCAGTGACTAAAGTTCAGATCAAATGAAAAATAATTCCGGAAAAAACTATCCAATCTTCTCCTTATCATAGAAATCGATTTCGATGTATAGATAAGTAGGATAACCCAAGAGGAAAGGCAATTATGTGGTACTTTCAGAATTTTAGCCGAAGAAAAGGGTAATCGTGACTGCCTGCTCAGATGTATACCTATTCATGGCAAGCACAAATTCCAGACACAAAGAGAGGTACTGCCTAGCATGCTGTCTACCGACCTCAACTCAGCAGAGATATAGATTGACAACATTCGCCATCAGTTATTGCCGAAGAGGATTGGTTTCATATTGTCACTTATTCGCCAACACGTGGTTTGATAATGATCACCTGTTGGTCAGAACACCACTACATCTCTAAAATGGATGTAGGAAAGCTACAGTTGAAAGACCTATCTGAACACAGTCGGCTTTGAAATTTGTGGTCAAGACTGTGATTGACTTTTGGAAAAATGTCGAAAATGCTATTCAATTCTGGAAGCTTTTGAATTAATGCGTAAATATGAACGCATTCCTGAAGGTTCCGAGCACAATGAGGAGCAGAAGCATCTCATATGTAGAATGAAAAACAGTTTACATGATGACCGTGAGGAATGATGTACAGCGGATGTCAATAAGATACAAAAGGCAGTGGAAAATGATAATAATAGATAGTTGTTTAGATATGTCAAGTAAATTAAAGTGGAAAAGCGACTAGTCAGCAAGATTTTGGCTAAGGAAGATGAGTATGAGATTGACTTGCAGGACTAGGACAATGGGCAAAACACTTCAAGGAACAGTTCTGCTGGTCTTGAGCTACAATTCGGTTACCAACTATCTAGCAATATCATGAATGCAACATTGAGATAAGCCCTCCAACTCTTAAATAGAGTAAAAAGACTATAAACAATCTGGAAAGAAAAAGGGTAGCAGACCCCGGTGAGTTTGTGCTAGAGATATTTCAGGATTGCTGGTTAGACTGCCTGAAGGGTCAGCTAGCATATGGCGCCCGCATGTGATCTTCTATAAGTGTTCTTACTCGATTTTTGTCCCATTCTTCTGAGCAGAGAAATCCTCCTGTGGTAATCACAAGGAAAACAGTTTGATGAACAAAGCGGATGTCATCGAAAGACTCAAAAGCGACCTCTGTGTTCAAAATGATACAGTCATCAGTCTTGCATTTCCTTGATAATATCGATCTTAAGTAGCTGTAGTTACGTAATTTCATGTCTTTCTGTATTTTCATTCCCGTTTTGAAGCCGATTCCTCATTTTTTGAGTTTTGTCTATCCGATTACCTAAAATCTATTAGAGTTTTGTAATGCTTAAGCGATCGATGACGTCAGTTTTTTACCGATTCCAGAATATTATTGTCTCCCGCTTCTCTTCATCCTCCGTTATCTTTCTTGGAATATTCCTTTAGCCATTCGACAAACAATTCACCATCAAACAGTCTTAGCAATTTCATCCACTTTCATCGGTTTCAACCATCCGAAATCTAGGCTATTTTCTATTTAAATCAACAAATACTTCTCAACTTTGTGGAAGTACGTTGTGCAATCCGCTTTCTTATATAAAAGATACATTTCAATCAGTCATTATCAAGATGGGATTATTCATTATTAATTGACTTGGTTGTCGCTAGCACAGGAATCTAGAACGTGCGTTTCGTGCTGTTGGAAACTTGTCAATTGAAAGCACCTGTGCCTAAACAAGACTCAAACCTCGTACCTTTCGCATCAAACCGCAAAGCGTTATTCACTAAGCCACTGAGGAACGATAGTCACTTCATTACTGCTTAACCATAGAAGTTGCCACGCGTAACATCAGCACATCAAGCTAGAAAACACTAGGATAAAAAAATGCTTAAATAGGAATAAACAGTATTAACGAGTTGTAAGAAGAGAGGAAAGGGAAGTGAAACTGTAACAAAACTCGGCATAGCATTGTATTTAGTCGGTTTTAATACAGCTAACGAGAAGCCACAAAATAAATGCATGTATAGTCTACCATCATCGTTCTACTTGCTCTGGTTCAATATACTGAACTGGGAAAATGGAATGCAGTTCCTAGATGATAAGGTCAGGATGAATGGTACTGAACTAAATGCATCCAACATCTCAAACATCTTACCAATATTGATCCATATAATTAGTTTTTCTCCCTTATTTTATCCTGTCAATAGGTTCTCCTTGTTAATTTTCACCAACTTTACTGTTTTCAAATCGAAATTTTTGAAACCGGAACCAATAAATCACTCCTATTGTGTGAAGGCCAATGATACTACCTGCTTGCCCAGACTTTGGTAGATTAAGCTGGGTCGGAAGCCAAGTGTCTGGACCAATGAGATGGCTTAATTGGACCAGCATACTGTCAAGCTCCACATTATTTCACCCATTCAAGATAAATTTATTCTTTTTGGAGATTTGTGGGGATTTATTCACTGTTTTTTAGGTTGGTGTTCAACAGGAACTGACATCAGTTGGAGAAAAACTGGAAACTTGGGAGTACCAAACAGCTGTTGCATCCTAGTATGGGACTGTCCAACAGTATGCAGCCATGGCCCAGCCCACCGTGAATCAAACCCAGGGCCTTCAGGTTTCGCAGGCAGAATGTTACCATTGAGCCACTGGATCAGAACACAATGATCCATATTTCTTAACTCTATCAGCTCTCGATATAGAACGACCTACATCCAATGCTATCACTGAGTAACTGTCCTCATGTTTGACTTGGTTGGTAGTGCTATACTGTGAACTGACAGAGGTAGAAAATATAAATCATTGGATTCTGACTCAGTGGCTCAATGGTAACGTGGTGATCGTATGAGATCTGGGTCCGATTCCTAGCGGGGTCATGGGTACGCACTGCTAAGGACTTCCGTTCCAAGATGAAACAACTGTCCAGTCTTTTCAGGTTTCCAGTGTTTCGCCAACAAAGTCGATATAACACGGGTACCAGAAAAAGTATACTATACTGATAACTGAGCTGTCAAACCAAATTGCTGCACAGCTTTCATTTTCCCTGCAGTCATCGAACCTTTGGTCATACTATCAATTAAACTAGAAATGTATATAACTGTACACTTTTTTTATCATAAAGAAGAAAGTGAATATGCAAACTGTCTTTGAATAAACTTACTGCTGAATTATGCCTACAGTGGATTGTGAAATATCATCTGATTCAAATAAAAGCCTAAATCAAATCAATAAATTAGATCGAGTATAATCGATTATATCACAGATCAATTGATTTTCGATCCCAATGGTTATTGATAAAAGAATAGTGCTATGCTAACACACATAACATAGTCAAAAGTTGTTTTCCAGATGAGATCTTAGAATTACTAGAACAATACTGTTAGTATAACAGTCAAATCATAAATTATTTGGTTAATTATTGTGTATTGCTTCTGATAAAGCTCACTTCCAGATATTTGGAATATGTGATGAGTCATTCTTGTTACATATGTTAGGTATTGATTCGATGAACAAAGATTCAGTAATCAACCTTTCCCCCCCCCACCTAGATCTAATGGATTTTTAAAATTCTCACTCTATGGTGTGATTATGGGTTAGTGCATACAGAGCAACAGCTGAGCGTTCCTCTCGTTTGCTTACTTCAGTAGGATTTACCAATGCATGTTTCGTTAAATTTTCATCATCCACTATCTTGATCGACCCTAATCATCTGCATTCACTTATGTACTTGACCTCAAAATCACTACATCGTATTTGATAGATCAAGTTATTTTTTTAAATTGGCTCTACAGGATCTTTTAGCCTACAAAGTCTCTCTCTGAGTGAGTCTGTGAGTTTAAATGCCACCCTAGTTCGAGCACTGTTCAGAATTCTACGTAAAAGTACCGACATACCTTCTTTATATGCCAATGCCGCAGAGGATTTGAATTCCCTTTTACGCATGTTGCAATCACCACTAACATTACCACTCTTTCTCTTATCAGTCCTTATAAACCTTCTTATTAAATTCTGGAGGATAGTTATTAAGAATTAGTGTCTCTATGATGTATTTCATTTCCATATTTAGGCTTTCCGACTAACTAGTCAAACTCCTAGCCCGATTACTTAGACATTTTACCAAGCCAACTTGGACAGATTATAAGCTGAGATGATGTGAAATCCAAGTATCTATTCGAATGTGTTGGTTTTTGGCAACTAAGCTTGTATCTTCTCTTCTCTTTATTTTGCAGCCGAACATGGGTAATTCTCCTTCTTCACTTTCTTACTCATAAATGAATTGGATTGCATCTAGTATCGAGTTAATGCGGCCGAAAAAGCTTTGGATATCTTCTGTTTTAAACATAGTAAATGTGTCATCTATATACCGCCAGCATACGTTTGGGGTGGGGTAGGAATGTTCCTAATGCCATTTGTTTCCAACTGTCGATGAATATACCTCCTACGATGGCGGGGGGGGGGGGGAAATTGGAGATTTCATCACTACTCATTCTGTCTTGAAGTCTGAAAATCGTGGAAGCGAAACACAATTTTGTTCCTAGTATAATTTCTTCAATAGAAACTTTAATTCAATAGTCAGTTGTGAGTTCATTTCTGCCCTAAAAGCTCACTTCTGCTTAAATCTTACTGGTAAAGTATATCACTATATTCTCTCGTTTCTTCTGAGGTGTAACTCCTACTGAGTTTAAATACACTGTCAAGTTAGTTGACTAGAGTTTAATAATTCCCTTAACACTATAAAAGTGTTCAGTATTACAACTATGACATAAATTTAAAATGTTAACAATCTAATAATCGGTTCTCTGCAGATTTAGCTAACACTATAAAGCGGTTTTCAATAGTAGACATATGTACTTGAAGTCAGTAGGGATGTTAATTATTTCAGCGTAGTACTTATCACAGACTGACATCATTTGAAGAACATCTCGTTGCTAAGGTGTCCCGTACTAGGACCAGACAGCTATCTAGTACTCCCAGTTTTTCAGCGGTTTTCGAGGTGACGTCAGTTCGTGATGAATACTGCCTTGAACTATTTTCCTTTAACAATCATTCTGTATTACTAGCCAAAGTTTACTATTCTCAGATAAACAAATAGTTCAATATTCCATCAATGAGGTAAAATAAAGAACTTTGACCGTGTACTGAAAATCCTAGTACAAACCTTCTTTTAATTTTCTTATCATTTGACTACCTGAGATACACGTAGTTTGGCAGACTAGTATTTATCCTAGGTGAGAAGAAAATCTGGACCGCGGCCGGATTTGAACCAGCGACCACTGGGTTTCCGATCCGATACCCTACCAACTGAGCTACGATATCCGACTGCTGACCAGATTTTGACTTCACTCCAATCACCAAAGCTTTCACCCGAATACCATATGAATTCGTGACGCGTTACTACCGCTTGATGGTATTCATACTGGCTTCCCAGTCAGGACTTCTCATCCCAATCCAAATCTTACCGAATAAGAGAGGGGGAGAAATTGATGGGGCACGGCTTTAAAAAATTCGTATCAACATATAAGAAATAAAATGATAACAATAATACGAATACAAATAACAACGAAAGGAGTTCACAGCCTCAATTATGTTGTCCAATAAAGAAAGAACATCAGAAACTTTGCATAGGATCCTCAACAAAGCTGGAATTAGGGTGGCATTTAAACCTGCAAACTCACTCAGAGATGAGCTTTTTCGACTGGTTTAAGAATCTGATAGATCAAATCCAGCAAAATAATTTAACCTATGAGATTCCATGTAATGACTGCGATGCCAAGTACATAGGTCAAACTAGCCGGGAATTTAGCTTGATATCGAATGACAGACCCCAATAAGATAAATCAAATAAACAAATCTAATATGGAAGAAGAGAAGTATGCTGGTAAGTTATCTTGAACACTTAATTAGTAGAGTCATGTTTAAATTCTAGGAATGATATTCCAACTTGACATCAAGCCTGATTGATGATCTGCCAACTCACTGCTCTGTCGAATGGACCATAAAATCACGTAGTCGGTAAACAAATTTCAGTTCCAATCCATATAAAAATGAGCTGTATAAAACCATTATTTTATTAAGATGCAGACGACTATGTCCTGTCGGATGAAGACGCTGATAAAATATAGGGTTTTCTGGACGTAGTGAACAAAAATCTGAGTATGTTTAGGATCCGTCTCGCTGTCACTTGTCAAATGTAAGATGATGCTCCAGGACTGATCTGGTGCAAGTACTCTCAGATTAATGGTAGGGAGTGAAGTGGTCGAATATGTCAATCACTTCACTTACTTGGGAAGTTGCATCAGCTCAAATGGGCTGGTCGCTGATGAAATCTCAGCTCGGATACAGAAGGCTTGCTTGGCATTTGCCAATTTGCGTCATTTGTGGTGCCGACTGGCAAGATATCCGACTATCTATCAAAGGACGAGTATACTACACTGCAGTACGTCCCTTCCTGTTATATGACTATGAAACATGGCCGTTTAAAGTAGAAGACGTGAAGAGGTTACAGGTTTTTGATCATAGGTGTCTTCATACCAGTGCTTGTGTTTAGTGGAACCACCATGTGAGTAATATTCAGGTCAGGCGAAGAATATTAGGCAAGACAGACAATTCGACTGATGAGATTGTGAACCTTCATTGGCTGAAGTGGCTTCGATATGCGTTGCACATAACGGTCCATCACCTACCTCAAAGTGCCATGCTAGGGAAAACTGGACTAGGTTGGAAGAGGGCTCAGAGTGACCGGACGAGGACGTGGCACTAGTTTATGAAGTCCCTGACTGTTGGACTGAGCTGTGTTGGGAGATGTAGAATACCTGAAAGGAGTCCGTACAGCAACAAGAGTCAGTGTTTGAGGACTCGGTTACAGTGGGGCAGATAGTGAGGGCTAGATTTACAGATGGAGATTCATGTTAATCAAGTCAACGATGTAATAATCTCCCAGTCGGAAATCCCACCGACAGCACTAACTTGTGGTTAAGAACAAAGAGATATCTCAATTCGATGAGTTGTAACGTCTATCTAGTTCCTGCTTATCAAAAGTATATGTTATTTCAATGAACTAAACACACCAGTAGTAATTAGTTACCGTATAAATGCAAAAAAGAAAGGAATTGACTTTAAGAAAGCCTACCATATCATAGTATGTATCTGGAGGATTGATAAACTTTACACCATTTTCACAACATTTATTTGTTACACCAGTTATATTATCAACAGCAAATGCCATATGTTGTAAACCTGGTCCTGAATTAGCATGCAAAAATCGAGTGACTTGATTAGGTTCTGAAATAATAAAATAACAATTAATACAGTAGGTGAGTAGAACAGAAAGTATTTTACTATCCTATTTTAATATTAACCCTTAATATCTTCTACTAAATAATCTCATCACTTTCAGATGAAAAGACATGAAATTGTTTCGAATATATAGATGATTCATTCAAGAAGAGAATGATAACACCATTTCAACGGGAAATAGTACTAACACCTTCACCCTATCCTGTTCAGTAGTAAACACAGATTGAATTCTGTTGATTGATTTTGTAATTTGACTGTAAACTTTGAATAACACTAATTAGTTGGAGATAGTTGACAAGATGGTTTGCCTAACTCAGATTTATTGTTTGTTGGCAGTCATCAACAAACTTATATTCTTCAGAGACCTGAATTCACTTCACTAGTAAGGCTATAAAATTGATTTTCTTGGGCTGCAATGAATATTAAATGTAGAAGTGAATTAGATAAGTATTTTATCAACTGCAGTATAAATGTTAACAAAATAGATCATTATGATTTACTTTGAAGTGAGAAAAAGTGTGTTTTCAGGTTTAGAATTTTCTGGCTAACATGTATTTTATAGCAACAAAAAAAAGATATTCAACGAAGAATAGTCTTTTCAACGAATTTAATCTCAAGTGGTACGTACATTCATATATATATATATATATATATATATATATATATATATATATATATATATATATATATATATGCGTGATATTTAAAGACTTCAATCCATGAGAAAGAATTAACCTAAACATAGGGAGGTTAAAATCCAAATAATGGTGATTATACTAGTAACAAGATTGCTAGCTGGTGACATAAAAGTTGAATGATAACAAAATGGAGTCAAGTAAGATGTGTAAATAGTCTATAGGGTGTGCATATTAGATTACAAAGTAGGTAAAAACTTGGTAGAGTTAATAAACAATCAGCGGATTATGGGTTGGAATTCATTGTGAAATGACATCAACTGAAGGAAAATTGCAAACACCGGAGCACTGGACAGCTGTTTCATCCTAGTATGCCACTCCTCAGTAGTGGACACACCTCTCGAAGCCAGTCAACAATGGGCACCAGATTAATTTTATCTGGAGGCTTGTGGAGGTTTATCGTGTACTGACAGAAGTAGGAAATGTGGACCATTCAATTCCAACTCAGTGGGTCAATGGTAACGTCCTGCACACGGAACCTTAAGGTCATAGGGTTCCATCCCTGGCAGGATAGGGTCATGGGTGTGGACTGCTGATAAGTCCCATACTAAGGAGAAACAGCTGTCCAGTGCTCCGATGTTTCCAATGTTCCCCAACTGATGTCAATCCATAATGAATCCCAACCTAAGGTCAATCAATAAACTTCCACAAACCTCCAGATAGAATCAAAGGATCAGGTAATATATATGAGACAAGTTTATTGGAATAAATTGAAAATGTTTTGTTAAAAGTTGCAACCCTAAGGAAGATCAAATGAAGTAACACTGAAAGCTATCGAATGCAGAAATAAAAATAATGACGATATTAGAGTAAAAAGATTAATCTAACAAAAGGGGAAGTTGAAAAAAAAACAAAAAACGGACGAAGCACACTAAGACACAAAGACTGTACACACAAAGGTCAGACTTCAGTTCATGGATAGCCAAGGCCTTTCGTGTTTTTAGAGGTTGAACACGCAGGAAACGTCAGATTTTTGAGTGAATTCGATAGACAACCTTTAAATCAGTGTTCGAGTCGGTTAACTGGTTTCAATCGATTATATATTCAAGGATAGAACTTCTAATCCATTTCCATTCACGTTTATAAAACCAGTCAGGAATATGTTCTCGTATACGTGTTGGCATATAGACTTACGTTTTTAAAACACAGCCAAAGTTATTTGGCAGGAAACAACACTAGGAAAAAGGTTTATTGCTTTAACAGGAACAACATCAAGTGTAAAAACTCTCTATTTTCTTGTTCATTTACTTCATATTATGTTTTTCTCTACCTCCTTTATGATAATTACGATATTCTTAAATAAAGTAACACTACACACAAACGGATTCAGAAGGCATCGAAAACCATCGACCATCAATACTAAAGGTAAGTAGAAATACTTCAACCGTGAGTTATGCTTATCATATAAGAGTGAATAGTACTGTTAATTAGTTGGAGACAGTTGGCAGGAAGCCATGATTAACCCTGGTTTAGTGCTTGTTGGCACTTGGCAGCAACGCGTATCTTTGCAACCTCCAGGGAACTTATTTTGCCTCTCAGATTTGAACCCCAGTCATCCACTGTCGTAGTCAGCAACGTTACCACTGAGCCAGCTGTTCTGGCCGTGACTGATCTCCTGCAAAACTGGATTACATACAAACAACTTACACTTGACAATATACACCGCGATGCTCAGCCACCGAGGTTGGTCGCCACATTGCAATATGATCGATAGAATTCGATCAACACTCACGACTAGACAACATGAGATTGGTTATTTTCCTGTGACCAATCAATGTATGCAGTGGTCTCGATGTCAATATGTCCTCAAGAACCATTCACCCAAATATTGCAAAATTGTGACAGTGTGACCAAATTTAGGTCTGATATTTCCAATATTTTCAAAGACCACCCATATGTTAACCATGAATTTCTGAATCAGATTCCATTCACTACTATTCTTTCAAATTCATTGAATTCAATACCTAATAAAACAACTTGTAACGTAATGCTTACTAACATAATAATGAAACAGCTGTTCGTTATCTCTGAGAAACATGGTTTACCATCACAACCTATGAAAACTGTCTCACAGCTAGTCTGAGAATCGGTTTCCAGTTTATTTTTCAGTGTGATGGGAATTCCGGAAAGAAATTGTTTTCCAGTCTGAAGATGGTTGTCTTAGGCTATAAAGTAAGCTCATAGTTTCCAAAGCATGCTGAATGCACAGAAATGGTAGTGATCTGTTAGTTGGTTGAAGAAAATTAGCAGGAAGCCACGCTTAGTCTAGGTTTTGTGCTTGTTAGCACTCATCAGCAGGGCGTATTTGGAACTTCGATGGAAGTGATGTTCCACCTAACATTAAAACCCACGCAACCCAGTATTTCAGTCAGCGAACTTACCACTGAATTACTCGAGCCACGATTAATCTCCTGTAGGATTTGGTTAGATACACTGATTGTTCATTGAGAAGAAATCGATTTCGGGTTGTCTAGGAGGCCAGGAGGTCAAGTCGCTGACTGCAGCACTGAGTGACACGGCTTCGAATCTCAGGAGGAATATCAGTTCAGTCAAGGTTATAGATACGCCATGCTGACTAGTCTTAACAAGCACGAAACCTAGGGGAAGCAGGACTTCCTACCGATTGCCTCTAACCAACTGACATTCATTAAAGTGCATCGCGATGATCAGCCACCTAGCTCGGTGACCAGATTACTAAACGGTTGGTAGAATTAACTCACCACTCAAGACTAAACAACATAAAAATTGTTGCTCTCCAGTAACCAATCAATCAAGTGAATAATACTGTTTAATGGAGTTTTGACCTATAGCTCCTCGGACTTTGACTACATATAAATCATCAATTCACAGTTATAGGGTTATTAATTTTGACTTACTAATTAGTAAAGAGAAATCTCATAAGGACAAAACATTAAAGTTATAACCTAATCGTTGTTTTTTTCAATATTTTTTTTCCAGGTGAGGATAGTTTTTATTACAGTCAAAATAATCTTCGATAATTTGTCTGTAGAACATTTTATAAGGCCATCCTAAGCTAACAATAGTCAAATAAGGAGGTGGAAAGATATACAGAAACTTAACATATGCTTTGAGAAAGTGGGGGAGAATACAACGATCATCAAACTTAAAGGAAGTTATCTTCAATAAGTTAAATGAATAGTCTGGTTTAGTGACCATAGTGGATTTCATAAGCTACCAATTAATATTGGTATCATTTTATTCCACGAGTATTCATCAGTTACATGCAACCTAAAATCGAAACAGAATCATCTGCACGCAAAAATACACAACACATTCGATGTGGATTGAAAGAGAGAAAGCAAGTTCTGAAATTCAGTGATGACAGATTCGAAAAGACAGGAAGAAACAGAAATTATGTATACCTATTCATCATGGGCTGATATCAGTTCAAGAGACATTGGAAATACCGGGGCACTAGACATATGTTTCGTCCTAATATAAGACTCCTAAGCAGTGTGCACCCAGGAACTTCAGGTTTCACTACCAGTACGTTACCGGTGAGTCATAGGGTTGGAATCCGATGGTACATATTTCCTATTTCTTTTAGTTCATGGCATAGCGTGACCTCCATCCAATGTCATCGCTGAGTAACTGTTATCATGTTCGACTTGATTGGCCTAACCAGTCACGACTTCTTTTTGGAACTGTGGGGAATCACCTCTTGAAGCTAGTCACCAATGATCACTAGAGTAACTCAATCTGGAGGTCTGTAAGGATTTGTTCATTGACTTCAGGTTGGTATTCATCGCAGACTAAGATCAGTTGGAGAAACATGGATAACCTGGGAGCAGTGGACAGCTATTTCGTCCTAGTATGCGACTCTGCAGCAATGCGCACCCATGACCCCACCAGGGTACATAAAAAATGATTATTAATACATGATTAGGTCGATAATTCTAGACCTATAAAGAAAAGTATGGGGTCATACAAAGAAAGAGTGGAAGAAAGAAAATTCTTAAACAACTGAAGAACTAAGTAAGCAAACAAATAATCAGAAAGCGGTGAAATAAATATAATAGAGAAGGAGACATGATATAACCAAAATAGAATCAAAGAAAGATTAACTGCAATATATTTTTGTATATAAAGGTAAGGTTGAAAATATTTGGTCGCAAGAGTTTCCAGTCTACAGAAATTCCTTCAGCTCAGAAGATTTTACCTCAGATTAACAAATCATAGATTGAATCTTCAAATAAGCATATCTTAACATTAACTTCCAAACTAAACAAATTTGGTAGCCTTGTTTATGATAACGTCAATATTACTTGT